TGACTCTCAGGACAGGCCTGTGATACGTCATATTCATGCAGAAGCAGTGGTGATAAGAGAACACGCTTGAGAAACAGTTTAGAGAGGAGAAATCAATCTACATATAAAATATAGGTCACAAATTATTGGTCAATTTCTAAATAATAAAAGGTATAGCGCATCTACTAATAATTATATACAGTGGGTATTGAAAAGAATAACCCCCTTTAAAATAATCACATTTTGTTGCTTTGCAGCCTGAAATGAAGATGGACACAGTGTTTGTTTCATCCAGCGGTATTTACTCAGTGCATCTTTTACAGGGGTGTGACGAAATCTCATGATCTCGAGATCTCACTATCGTATATAGCACAATGGGGATATCGTCACATTCTCGCGAGACCAGTCGGATCTCGTGAGAATGTGACGATATCCCCGAGCTATTGGCATATGTCAGGCCTTTCAGACATATTTGCATAACACTGGCTCGTTCACCAGTAGTGGTATGTAAGATATTTTATGTTCACCTGTGAATACGATATGCTTACCTGCTGTTAACAAGATGCTCCAGTGTTTAACTAATCACCTATCTGAACAATCAGGCTAGTGCTGCTTCCTCAAGAACGTTTATCATTCTCACATGTTGTAAGACTTGTCAGTTTAAACATTAAAGTGTTTTAAACCATTCAAGCGTGAGACGGCGTGAAAGAGATTTCAGTGCGGTACACGCGTGCTGTGATATACCGTTTCTGTGTGCACGCATAAAGCCACAGCTCAGACAGCATATGCGAGAACCAAATTGAGTTTTCTTTCGCGTCTTCTTGACCAAATGCACACAAAATTATGTCAGAATCACGGTCTTGACGAGTATCCACGTAATCACATTGTTTCCAACCCACTCTTCACCCCAAACCAGCAGGTTCAGGACTTCCACCCGCAACGGTAGTAGCCTACTGCTCAGTCCCCTCGACATATCGTCTCAAATGCACAAGCAATTGCACTTATTATGGGCTCAACAGTCCTTTAAAGTTTGTCTTCCTCAATTTAAAAACAAGTGTGTGTTCAAAAAGTAAAGAAATGCTTATATTACTGCACTGGCCAACGGAGCGAATCAACCCTGTGACATCACACGCTGTGGTACTGCAAGATGGCAGCGCCCTTGCTCCAAAAGCTATAACAAAACATCCTTTTTTCTTTGAAACTGTTACATTAATTGTGTTTATTATATATATTTTTTTATTAAAGTGGAAATCAGTTTACTAAATTATATAAACCTGACTGACTGCTTCACTTCCACTTTAAAGGGTTATTTGTGTTGTTTATTATTTATTTTTATTTATACTATTTGTAATTTTTGTGCAATTACTTGCCTGTCAGTCGAGTTTGTGGACAGAACATTTTGCAGTGATTACATGTTTATTACTGCATACAATTCATTAAAATTGAAGTTTATTTTCATAAAGTATAAGTTGATTTCAAAATGCACCTAGATTTTTTTTTTGCATTTTGTGTTTTTCAGTTGAATAAAAGTCTATTTTCCCTATATATTTCATCATTGAGGATTTATTTTAAAAAGTAAAAAAATCTCGTCTCGTTCTTGTAAATGTGAAACGTTCTCATCCAAGTGAAAGATATAACACCAAAATGTTAGAAAAAAACAAAAACAATCACCGAGTTGGAAAAAGGATTACTGCCTTGTGTGTGTGTGTGTTTTTAACCACCTTTTGCTTTAATTGCAGCCTTTAGACTGTTGGGAT